TAGTTTTCCTTTAAAAAGACAGAACAAGGCTAGACCTAGTGATGGCACATCTTTAATCCCAGCACTCAGGAGGCAGAGGCAGACAGATCTCTGCGTTCAAAGACCAGCCTGGTCTACATAGTGAGTTCCAGGCCAGCTGGGGCTAAAGAAAGACACTGTCTCAAAAAGACCAAAAAAATAAATAAAAAGACAGGAGGGCTGGAGAGATGGCTCAGCAGTTAAGAACACTGACTGCTCTTGCAGGGGACCCGGGTTCGATTCCCAGCACCCACATGGCAGCTACAAACCGTCCTTAACTCCAGTTCCAGGGGAATCCAAAGCCCTCTTCTGACCTACGCAGGCATTGCACAACACAGGTGCACTCACACTCATGCACAAAATTAAAATAATAAATTGTGAGTGCACCTGTATCGTGCAATGCCTGCAGAGGTCAGGAGGGCTTCAGATTCCCCTGGAACTGGAGTTAAGGACGGTTTGTAGCCGCCATGTGGATGCTGGGACTCGAACCTGGGTCCTCTGCAAGAGCAGTAAGTGCTCTTAACTGCTGAGCCATCTCTCTAGCCCCCTAAATAAAGTAATAAAATATTTTTTTAATTAAACACTTGGGAGGCAGAGGCAGGCAGATTTCTGTGAGTTCAAGGCCTGCTAAGTTGACATAATGATATCCAGACCAGCTGGGGCTACACAGGAGACCCTGTTTCAAAAAGACTAAAATAAATAAATAAATAATAAATAAATAAATAAATAAATAAAACATAGTTAAATTGACTACGCAAATCAAAATTTTTGAACCGTCAAAATTTGCTTTTTGCATATGTAATCAATTTGGTAACAATGTACTAAAAACAAATGCACCTGCAAAAATAGGCTGCAAACAGATCTACTAGGGTTGTTGCGCCCCCAATTCCCACCCAGATTTCACCACACTTAATTACCTACTATCCTCTGAATCCAAAGTTTGCACTTATTGACAGAATTGCTTAATTTTAATTACCTTCTTTCATCTTGACCATTTAAACCCCTTCCCCTATCTACACCTCCTCAGAGCCTCCCCCCCCCCCAGATATTCTGCATTCTGCATATATGTTAAGGTCTATCGAGTCAAGTTTGTGTCCCCATATGTCCCTCAGTGTGACCAGGCTCCATCCACTGGAGCCTGGTCAACCTATCTAGCATCACTCCCTTAAGAAGGTCAACTCTCCCTCTCCCTGTAGTTGCCAATAGTTCCTCAGCTACCATTGGGGCTTCTTATCCACTTACCCACTTCTCTACAGGGTTTTTGTCTGATTTGGGCTTGCATGAGTCTTACGCGTGCTGTCACCATTGCTGTAAGTTCACATGAGCAACTTTCCAAGTGCCTGGAAAATTCGGTTTCTTTGTGGTCATCCACCACCTCTGGCTCTTTCAGTCTTTCCACCTACTGAAAAATATACAGACAACATATACTAGTGCATATATATAACTAAAGGCTATATAACAAAAAACAGTGCCAGGCAGGAGAAACCAACCTTTGAATTGTTGGTCAGGGTAGTTCAAGAGACTCCCAAAATAACAGACTATTGCCACCATCCTGATTGCCTCCCAGAACTTGAAGGTAAGACCCTATTGCTGAAGACAGGACATAGTTCCAGCAATGGAGCTGGAACTGACTTAGAAGTCTCCTCCATGAAGACTAACTCTCATAGTATCAGAGGACACTATATAAGCCACCAAGGGAAAAAACCAATCAGTGGTCCCTGCCCAGCACTATCTCTACTGGTATAGTAGTGGCATGATTACCTTGGGGGTAATCAGCAACTGCCTAATTGGACTTAAGCCCACTCAATGGGAGGGAACTCGTGTGGTACTGTAAACATACCTAAATACACATGGCTGGAAAGATCATAGATCCTAGAGAAAAACCTACCTTTGTCACATCCCTAGACAATGTAATTTCTTACTGTGTTCTAAATGTACTGTTTTAAAATTGTTTGCAAAAGAACAGCAGGAGGAAGGAGAGAGAGATCTAGCACTTTCTTCATGCTGCTCCTAAATTAGAAAACCAAAGCACTTTTGCACAATTTAGAAGATATTTCCCAGGGCCTGAAAGATGGCTCAGCAGATAAGAACACTGGTTATTTCTTGCAGAAGACCTGGGTTCATAGCCCAGCATCCACATGGCAGCTAACAACTGTCTGTAACTCCAGTCCCAGGGGATCTGACAGCCTCTTCTGACCTCCGCGGGCATTACACGACATGGGTGCACTTACCTACATGCAGGTGTAACACTCATACACATAAAAATATATATTTTTTTAAAGTTAAAATATTTCCCAAAGCTGGAGAGACGGCTCAGCTCTTGCAGAGAACCTGGGTTTGATTCCCAGCACCCACACGGTGGCTAACAACTCTCCATAACTCAAGTTCCAGGGGATCTGATGCCGCCTTCTGACCTCCACAGGCATTGCACGACACGGGTGCACTTACACGCAGGCAATACACTCATCCACATTAAAAAATGTTTTAAAATTTAAATAAAAGATATTCCCCACTTTCTGTGACTTAGAGGTTGTGGTTTTCTATCCACTGCCTACTTTGCACTGAAGCATTTGCTGTGAGCTCTTTCTGGAAAAAACACTCCCGGAGGGCACCAGTGAACAACACTGCTGGAACATCACACCAGCATCACCTACACTACAGGAAATGGACCCAACAGTCGTTTCAATTTATAGCATTCTTTTTTCTAATTTTCAGAGTAACCAATGGTTACTTTGGAAAGTGTAGGAAATATGCAGAAAGCAATCCTCTGTCTGCACAATCTCTTAGGCTGTCTGAGTTGTGCTCTGTGGGCTGTGGGCTCCAGGCTTAAGCAGTGTGGCAGGCTTCAATGCTAGAGTGCTGGGAGGCTAAGGCCAGAAGATGTTCTTGTGCCATGTTCAGGATTGGATGCCCACATTCTGATCCTTGTAAAGTAGCATCAGCTGACCTGGTAGGAAAATTAATGACATTAAAGAATTTTACAGAGAATTAATCTGTCTCGGGACTCACTGGTGGTAGATTCACTTGGTCAGTTGGCAAATGCTTACTCAGCTCATGTATATTACAGATCTTTCATGCATGAGTCAAGTGAATTTCCTTTGTACCTAGTTCCAACCAAATCAAAAGCACCACATTAGAACAAGTGAAAACTCACCTTTACCTATACCCAGCGAGCGATCTTAGCATTTCTCCTTGCCCCCAACTTTATCTGGTCCCTGAAAGTTTCCTTATCCATCAGGTTATGGTATGCAGCCAGAGTGCGGGGGTTTTTTGGGAGTTTTGAGACGGTCTCCTTGTAACCCCTAGCTGGCCTAGAACTCTCTATGTAGACTAGTCTAGTCTCAGTCTTACACAGATCCACCTGCCTCTGCCTCCCAACCGCTGGCATTAAAGGCATTCGCCACTATCCATAACATACTTGAAAAGCCTTTTAGAGGCTGCTGAGAACTCTAGAGAGATCAATCCTGAGCAGGGTCTGCAAGGTCATCCTGGTCTGATCCTACCAGTCTGGCCTCTTCCTCTTTCTCTACCACAAGGCCTTTGCCTGTGTTGCTTTAGCATGAAGACTTCCTAGCTCAAATGATTCAAATTTCAACCCAGCTGATCTCCCTAAGTCAGATCATCCTTTATCAAGGCACTTAGGTAAGCAGAGCTTCCATATCAGGTCAGAAATTGTCTTATGTTTTTATATAACTGACAGCCCCCCCTGTGGAAGTTCCATGAGGGTGGTGGTATTTGTGGAGCACAGAACTACTACAGCTGGTGGTGTCGCATTTCCATTCCATCAGCAAGTGAGATACTTGACACCTCCACCCCCTTGTGATTCAGGGAGAGGCCACAAGCACCAGCTTGCTCCATTCTACCATAAGTGGACCTGCCCCCTTCACACAAGGATACTAGAGAGACATCAAACCCATGGAGCTTTTAGTTCATTTATTGGTTTGTCAGTGCCCAAGATGTCAGATAGCCATCTATGGCCCTTTTCAAGGGCTAGTGTAAATGGATGTTAAAACTGGGAGGCAAAATTGCCACCTGGTTCCCATTGTTAGATCAACAGCCAGCTCCAGTGTCATTAGAAACACCTGTGGCTCTAAACCCAGCACCATCACTTGAGATCTGGCAGTGGGTTCTCAAGGTTCCTGTTGGGATGTCTAGGGAAGCTACAGAGGTGTGCTCCTTAAATTGGGAGGCCTAATTTGGGGGGAGGGGTTGTTGGGGGGTTTTAAAGACACAGCTTTATTGAGCTGAGGTCTCTCTACCTAACAGAGGCTGGTCTGAATCCTCCCAAGCAGCTGGTAAGAGACCTGCACCACAATATCCTGATTTGGTGGGGTTTTTTTCTTAAGCTACAGGGACTGGAGATGTAGCTCATTGTTGACCCCTTGTATAGCATGAAGTACTCAGGCTCAACCCCAGCACCCCCCAAAAACATCACATGAAGTCCACTTGCTGTGTTTGTCATTCACCTTCTTGAAGCTGTCCATGCCACCACTCTCCAAGCCTCACTTGTAACAACTGTCATCAGGCTCATTCCCCCAGGGGTTTACCTACTCAACTAAAGTCCCTGTATGGACAAATTCCCACTTCTACCCACCAGCCCCCTCTGTTCTTACCCTAGGTTACTCCACAGAGCCAGGTTCTGTCTGCTGTGAAGATGCTTATCTCTAATGTTTAGGAAATTCTGCTTAATTGAAATAACATCTTTCTTAGATGCTTCACATGTATAGACTGAAGCTGTAGATTTCTTGTCTAAGAACCACCCCCCATGCCCACGTTCCCCCCCAACACACACACACACACACACACACACACTCTGCCTAGTAGCCACTCAAGTGCCTATAACTCAAGCCTGGCCCAGCTCTATGCCCTTAGCAGATGTTAAAGTTTAGGTGACAGGTCCAGATTTTCAGTACAAGCTCTCCTCAAATTGGATCTGAAAGCCTCAAATTGTTTTTTGCAATACCTTTATTTGCAGGCTTTGTCAAAACATACTGCCTTTCACAAAGTATTTGAGAAGGGAGAGGTGGAAAGAAGGGCCATGGGAGGAAGCTTACTTGTCTGCTCCATTAGCCCCATCTAGCCTAACCATTTTTGATGTTTGCTAAATGATATATTTGAAGCTGAACGTGCTGTCACAGGACAGGCGTTTGCCTTTGCATCTTCCGCACAAGTCTTGACGATGGGGGCGTTTAGGGTCCACATGGCGAAGTCTGACTGGGCACACACATCTAGTTCTTTTACAACTCTTAAAAAAAAAAAAAAAACAGTGAAATACAAAGAATGAATCCTCGGTGATTCTCAGGGCTAAGGATTTTTAGGATTTTTTAGTCTATTCAGATACTTCTTGAGTACACACTAAAGCCCCAGCTAATCTTCACTGTAACCTCCCCTTCGTGTGGGTTAGACAGGGATTCGATTCTCAGTTGTAAATTTCTTATGAAACAACTTTGCTTCCAATGACCAAAGTGCATTGATTAGATTCTCAAATGGTAAATTTAGTCACTTAAAGATTATCAAAGTCCCTGAGCACACTGCTAACAAGCAAGTGCTTAGCAGCGCTTAGTAGTAAGTAAGCCCTAGTTATGAATGAACCCCATAAAGCCGGACAGACATGATCTTAGGGCAAACTCCCTTTGTGAACTCTCAGACAAGACTGAAAAATTAATTCATGCATACTTTAAATGGATATGTGCGCCTAAGTAATCTTTGCATAAGATAGTGTGAGCCACCTGGAGCTAACAGAAAGGTATTCAGTTTTGCACTGTGCTTTCCCTTATACCAGGTGGCTGAGTAGCACGTAGACAAGCCTTCTATAGTGCAAGTGAGGTAACATTCAAAAGAGGCTACACAATCAGGTTTCATAAGAGAAGGAAGTAAATATTTCAATGGCGTTTTTTTTAAGCACTACTAGAAAATAAAACAAACAAACAAAAAAAAAACAGAAAAAGCAAAGCCTTAAGGCCAGAAGACATCTAGCCTCTTATAGGAAATACATTGAAAAAAGTATAGAGAAACCCTCTTCCAAAATGCAAACATTTAATTTACTTGGCAGGCAATCTCCTCCACTCGGTAAGGGTTGTAAGACTTCTGACAAGTTCTGCAAAACTGTTTGAAGTACACCTGTGACAGGAAAGAGCACATAATGGGAAAGAGCAAAAGTTCCTTAGCACATGCAGCAGGCGCAGGGCAGGGATGAGCATCTCTTACCTTGTTAGTGCCCTGCACACACCACACATATGCACTCTCCCACCGGATGTTGCAGTCCTTACAGTGATAATAGCCATACTTCTGCTCTAAGAACTGAACAGCAGGATAGCAGCGTTTAACCAGGGTGATGCCTGAATTAGCCTTACTTCAGAAACTGAGAAGGATCTACTTGATACTTAAAATTGCCAACTTCATTCTAGGTCTTGGAGGAAAGGATGGTCAAGGTTTGAGCCAACTTCTAAAAGTAATTAGATGAGCTGATAGCTTAACAAGCCTAGGCCAAACAAAACAGCTTATACACCAGATTCATTTGGCTCAGGAGGCTGGTTGACATGCATTTTTCCCAAGCTAGGGGAAAAACAAAATATATGGTGTTCTCTGGAGCCCAGGATTCTTTCAGTAGGCTTCCATGGGGTAATGCCTTGTCTTAGAACATGCACAGATGAAAGGTATTAAGCGTTCTAAGGTATTCATCTGAGATTAAACTCTCCACGCTGCTAGTTGTTTCCAAAAAATCCTGCTACTATCTGTAAGCACATGGTTCACTGAATATGAACTTTAATAGCAGAACCTTATTCTTAGCTTCCCACCCAAATGAGACCTTAGAAACAAATTTTTAGAATTAGGCCTTTAGAACTCTTGGGAACTTCAGAGAGCACTGAATGCAACCTTACAGATAAGCAAACACAATGGAGGCCAGAGAACTTAAGATCATGCCCAGCTGTGTAAGTGCCTTTGTGCTTGCCCTTCACTCCCCCAGTCTTGGGATGACTGTGGAAAAGACTAAGGAACTGCTTAGGGCCCTTTCCTACTGCTCACATTTTGCCATTTCCTTGGGAGTTGCAACTGCTCTCTGTGTCCAGCCTTGTCTGGCTAGCCTGGGCAGCAACTCAGGACTGCCCACCAGCGTAGCAGTATTGGGTTTCTGAGTGAACGGGGAGCTCTTGAAAACCTTGAGTCCATCAGCTACAGAATCGGAAGTAGGGTTCTGGTAGGGGGCAACTGAGACTGCGTTTGCTACTTCTAGGGGGAAAAAGATCCTTGTGAATTGACTCTTTTACCATAACATTGTTCTATGTATATAACGCATCTTCCTTCAGCTATCCGAAGAGCTGTACACTGCACTGGACTTTGTGTCCACCTTGAGGCTGCATTTGTAGTGTAAATGTGATCAGAATTAGGTTAGTATACGGACATTTTCCCGGTCAGCCGGGTGGAGCCTACCTCCAAAGCAGGCCACTTGTGGCTTGATTGTATTGGGTAACTCCTTTCTTGGCTGCAAAATCATATTACTGAGGGGTTAGAGAGATAGCCCAGAGGTTAAGAGTGTTCTTGCCGAGGACTCGGGAGTTTAGTTCCCAGCACCCACATAGGGTGGCTCACAACTGCCTGTAACTCCAGCTCCGGGAGATTCACCACCTCTGACCTCCACTGGTACTTAACTCAGGTGCAAATATCCAACACGTACAGAAAATTTTTTAAAATATCATACACCTGCCAGGTAGAAGAAAGTGTGGCACCCACGCGTCCCAAGATACCCTGGTTTAGCCCCAGAAGGAGAACCCCCCACCCTGGAGGTTCTCGTGGTCCGCGGGCCGCCTTCCCTGGCCCACCAGGCCTCACCTGGAAGCGCAGGCGCTCCTTGTCCTCCGGCAGCGAGGCCTGGGCCCTCGCGGTGGCCATGTCCCCGCCGTCCTGAGCCACCTCCGCTACGGGACGCTGCTGGCGACTCTGGGGCGCGGACTGCGAGGCCACTGCACTGTGCCCGGCCTCCCGCGGCTCGGGCCCGGCCTCCTCTACTGTGTGCGCGTCGCCCTCCTCTGAGCTCGGCTCGTGGGCTGCCTTCCTCGTCGTCACCTCTCCCTCTTCGGGTTCTCGGGTCCTCGCAGGTGTCGACCTACGCTCTCCCTTGGGCTCCCCGGAGCTCTGCCCGCCCGGCGCGTCCCCCTGCAAGGAGCTGAGGCCGCGGAAGACCACGGGCGAGTACACGGCGACGGTGCGCGGGAGGCGCGCGGGCCTCGGGGCGCCAGTGGGACTGCCGGGCTCCGAGGTGGGCCCGCGCCATCCGCGTTGCAGCGTGCGGCGCCCTAGCGAGCACTGCACAGAGGCGTCGCGCCGCGGGTTCACCTGCACCGCTGCGTCCCGGCTGCCGGCCGGCCGGGGGTTTACTCGGGACAGCAGCGCTATGAGCTGCGCCCGCCGGTAGGTGTCGAAGTACTCGGCGGCCATAGGCTGCCCGCAGCCGGGAAAGGGCGACGAGGCCCGCGCAGGGCCGCAGCTCCGCCGCCAGCCGTCTGGGGCCTTGGCGGGTGGCGGGTAGGGGTGCGCGCAGGCCGGGAACACATGGGCGTCCATGGCCTCGCCAGCCCAGGCAGCCATCTGCGCCGCCCCAGCTGCCCGCCGCCCCAGGCGTTAAATAGGCGGCTCGCTGGGGCTGAGGCGGCGAGAAGTCCCGTCCGAGCCGGTTGAGGGAACCCTCCCGACCCCTCTCCCCACACGCAGGTCGGCAGGCAACCCTAAACTATACGGAAAGAGGGCTTTGCTTACGACGACCACAGTAGCGATTTGTAAGTGAACTCGGCCGGGTAAGGATTCAACAGCACGATTAGCCAGTCAGGTGGTCCCCATGCCCTACCTGATGGCTCCAGGTGCCTGTGCCACGTGGAAGGCGAGGCAGGTCCGTGTCTGATTAGGGAGCAAAATACTAAGGATAGGGGATGGTCTGTTGCCTCCCTCTGATCCTCTGTGATCTGCAGGGATGTGTCCACCCACAACCCTTGGGGGTGGGGGTGGGGAGGAAGGGCCCTACGAGGGCTTCGAGAGTTAGGTGGTCTGGTTGCCCAGAGCACCATCTTTCCCAGGGCTGACCTGAGGTACCGGTTTGTTCTATTTCTTAGCCAAACCATTCCTTGAAAAGATAACTGAATCTGGGATGCCTTTACACAAATTCAATACGATCTTCTCCGCTTTGATACTGGCTTGACAACAAAATACTATATTTCGGTTTTACTGACCTGCTTTGGACTTTTTTAAATACAGGTCTATATTGAACATGGTCAGGTATTTGCAAGTAGAGCAAGCACATGTTTTGTTTACAGTTACATTAAACTCAATTATGCTTTACAAAGATAGCCTGTTTTACTCCTGTATGCACCAGACTGCTACATTTCCAAACCCCATTTTTTAATACAGTGGTTTCTATCTGTAAAAAGTCATGGAAATTGATAATGGCAAAAAACAAAAAGCGCACTTAATCAGAGGCTTCACGTTAGCTGACCCAGGTGCAAGCAATATTAGAACACTGATCATTCATGAAAACACTTGAGATGCAACTTTACACTGGGAAGATCAAATCTGTCACACAGAATGGGAGCCAATTGTTACCCTGTATGTAAACCATATACACTACCACAGGTCATGAATAGGAAGTGATATTTCAGCCAGATAGAAACTCCTGAGTGTCTCCATGTTTAGAGAGAAGTCTGAGTGGTCTCCATCATTACTAAATCATCTGCTCTCACTGTACCATAAGATGTGTCTACCATTTCCTCTTCTTTCAGTTTCTTGTAAGAAATATCTGTATCTTCATCTTCATCTAGATCTTGCTTGTGCAATATTTCACTTCCATACATTTTGTAGATTAAAACAAAAATTCCTGCTTCCGCAGACTGGAAAAGGGCATAAAGCAAGGGAAACATGTACATGCTTCCGATGAAACGGGGAGGAAAGGCCAGTTTGAGGATGGCAGTACAGAGCTGCACGTTCTGACTTCCTGTTTCCAGACACACAGTCCTCTTGCAGTTGGGTGGAAGATGAAAGAGAGTGGCTAAGCCGTAGCCAGAGGCGTAGCCTGCCAGCGGCATTAAAATGGCCACTGCATAAACAGCTGCAGGGATGCTTGCCAGCAGTTCAGGTCCTAACATGGTGCCTGTCATTATGAAAAGGACCACCAGAGTCACTAGAAGAGACCACAGAGAAACCTGAAAATGGATAGACAAACCATCAGCAGCGACATCACGGAAGAGGAATTCAGACCAGAGAATGGCAGATACCCATCCATCCTGACCTCCCACACAAATTGGAGGTCTTTGACAGAGTATTTCCAAAGATAGTTCTCAACCTGTGTTGGACAGATCTAACTGCTGGGAGGCCCCAGCCTGGTGCCCAGTGACAGTTTGCCTTCCAGGAGCTCTGCCCATTGCCTTTGATGGAGTAACGAAAGACCAGTCTACTCTTTTTGAAAAAGTCTTTGAAAGCTGATAAACCAGTCATCAGAAGAAGACTCCTGTCTCCGGGCAGACTGTTCCTCAGCCTTTCAGCCCTCACTGTACAACTTTTAGTATTCTGAGTGTATGTTTAATTTACTAATGGAGCAGTTAGAATTAAGCCCAAGACCCCAGTTATTGTCAGAAGACTAGCATGAACAGCTAGGTGTTTACTTCTCCTGAACAGGGCCCTATGCTTTTCTGTGAACTTAGTTCCCATCTTACACAAGAGTTGAAAGACCATTAAATTATACAATAAACAATTAATTATATTTTTAACCAAAGTACAGTTCAGAAGCTGGCTAACAATATGAAAACAATCATCTCAAAGAAAAATCTAAGTGCGATGAATTCTGATTCTGCAACTCTACTGTTTTCTTTGTTCATGAGAAATCTGTGTTCCTAATGGTCCTTAAGAAGTATTACAAACAACAGGTTTTTAGCTACATCCTACTGACTATATAAAACATGTCATCTTGATGCTCTGACTGGTACATTTCTCTTGTTCAAGTAAAGCATGAATGTGGGGAAGAAATCTAAACATTCTCCTCCCAGACCACTTCAGATAGATAATTAGGTTGTTCTTTTACAGTCGGGTATGATGGGAGTAGAAACCCGAGCAGCAGCTCTTCCTCTCTGGATAGCAGAGAGGGAATCCTTTTGGAATCTCTGGGATTGATGTATACTTTGTGCTCTTAAAAAAAATACTTAAAGTTTATCTAGGCTGGTCAAAAATGCTACTCTAGAAGATCCTGAAATAATTATTTAAGGTATGCACACACATGTACAATTGGTAGAAAACTATTAAACTATTATAAATCAAAACATAACAATTTTCAAAGTGTGCTAGACTGAAAATATTGACAGGAAATTTGTCTCTGTTTTCAAAGCATTTGCTCCAGAGTTCCTTTAAAAGATTTTAAGTCATTTAGGCAGTGGTTTTGAATGCTCATTTTAAAGTGTTTGCAAAAGCACAGTGATTGTTTTAACCGTGTCTCACATGGTGAGACAATTACCTTCATTGCAAAGGAGTCAGTCTTATTGAATGGTCTATCATTTAAATTTATTTCTTCTGTCTTCACTGCATCAGTAGCTCACTTGTCTTGCTCTCGGAATCCCTTAAGTTGTATAGTAAAGGCCATTGAACTGATAGCATGAGCTGAATGGAATGGATAAACTTAGTTCAGTATTCTCTGTATAGTGTAGGATTTTGTTCACTCTAGACTAGACTAGACTAGAAGAGAGCCCTCTAGTTTTCATACTAATGAATGTTGGCCCCTCTGTATAAATGGGAAATAAGCTAATATAAATAAAACACAACAGATTATATATTCTAAAGTCTTTATAATCAAAACACCAGAATGGCTCTTTTCTTGTCTCCACATCTTAGTTATGTATTTTAGTTTATTTACTAAATTGAATGTTCTATTTTAATTTTTTCACTATTTTTAACTAAAAAAATACAATTATTTTGTCTCCAATCAACTATCAAAAAAATCTGTGTTACTTTTTAAGAAAGGCAGCAGGTTTTTAAAAATAATATTAGAAATAGTCCCTGCAATAATAGCAGCCCCTCATCCTTTCACTAATTTGAGAAACTATATGAAATAATGTAATTGGGAAGAAAAAAGAAGCACAAATTTAGTAATGGCAATATAATCTACACTATCCAGGATCCAGTTTTATTTTGTGCTTTAAGATCAATATTTTGTGTATTCTATAACATTGACACAACAGTTTACCAATTTCAGCTTGTTCAAATTAAGAAAATATTTCAGGTTCTCCTCAGAATTACAATTCCATTTTTGAAAATAAAGTAATGCATTTATAAAATATTACACTTTGAATAATTTTATTTAATTTGCTTTGAATTTTAGTAATATTCAGTTAGTGGGAAATGCCTTCCATTTGATTACACTATGCCCTCCACCCCGACAACTGTCTCTGCCCCATGAGTACTAATAGGTCTCTTTGATTAAGCTACATCTTTGTGAAGATGGCAGGGTTGAAATAGGGTCTTGCTATATAGTCTAGGCTGACCTCAAATTCAAGCTCCTCCTGCCTCAGCCTCCCGACTACAGGGATTACAGGTGTGCCCCGTTATACGCAGCTTAAACTGTGACTTAATTAGAGCTATCATCCTAGGAATTTCATAAGGTTGGTGTCATGCTTGTTGAATAAACTTGTTTAAAAGTGTGTTCCTACAAGTGCTACCACATCCTTTTCTTCTTTTCTCTTTCCAAACTTCCTAGCAGTTCAGCCCCTGTTCAGAGACAGACACTGTAGGCATGTGGAAGGGAAGAAGGATCTTACCTTCACTATGTAGTCAGCCACACGGTTGTATTTGTAGCGAATGAAGACACCTAACCCTATGGGGATGAGAGTGCTGCAGAGAGTCAGGGTGACTGCCCCTAAGGGGAGTAACTGCACCAGAGGGGTGTTGATCCAAGCTCGACTGTAGATCCAGAGGCAGAGGGGCATCAAGACCAGGGCCAGAAGTGTGGAGGAGATGGTCATGATGATGCTGCAAAAAGGAATGAGCCGAGTCAAAGAGCCATCCGTTCCTTTATCTGTTGGGTAAAGGGGAAAGAGGACTGCAAACACCCCCACCCCGGGTTGAAGTCTCCAGAGAACCTACATCCTGCCACATTAAGACAGCATCTCCTCTAAGCCCAGAGGAAAGACCCGACCATCACAGCCCGGAACTGGGCTGCCTAAAGTCTAGAATCTGATGACTCCGAACACAAGGAACCTTTTTTTCTTTTAATCTTGCCAAGTACCGTGCGATGCTGAAGCTGGTGGATGCTACTTGTTGGATTAAACTCAGTTATGTTGCACTCTATGAGATTACTTTTTTTGTTCTTGGGACAACAGCCCTAATTTGCTTTTTACGTTTCCTATGAGCCCTAGCTCTGACTTCCCCCTTCTCTTTGCATTCCAGTGGCTGAAGAAGGGTTCGGCACTCAGAGAACGGTGGTCCCTGTGGGTGAAACCCCAGGGCCTCCAGCAGCTCAGTCGGGGTCCAAATCTATGCCTCTTAGCATCCTCCGGGATTTCAAAGACCGAGCCTCCGCATCTTCCTGCTGTTTATCCTGCCCTCCTCAAGCTTCATCCCCCACACCCCAACTCCTTCCCTCCTGCGTTTTGAGCCCGAGGTTATGAAGCCAGCGGGTTGGCGTGAGAAATATGAGGTACCTGAGGTTCATGTCGCCGTCCACCAGCAGCGACATAAGGTTGGAGAGGTTTCCGCCGGGGCAGCAGCCACACAGGAGCACCGCCACGGCGGCCACCTCGTCCAGCTTGAAGGCGAGGGCCAGCAGGAAGGCCAGCAGCGGCAGGAAGCCGAACTGGCAGAGCGCGGCCAGCAGCGCGCCTACGGGCCGGCGGACGTGCGCCCCGAAGTGGTTCACGTCCACCGTGCATCCCAGGCCCAGCATGGTGATGCACAGGGCGGCGCCCACGAACACGTTCAGCCCGTGGTTGAGCGGCGTGTCCCAGAATGGGGGCTCGTGGGGGACCCAGGGCCGGGGGAAGGCGGAGGAGCCCTGACCGGCTCCACCACCTGCGAGGCTGCTGGTCCAGGGGGTCGGGGTCGGGGTCGGGCGGGGACTGGAACGGATGCTCGGGCTGGGACCTAGGCTGAGCCCGGGGCTAGAGGCGGGAGCTAGGGTCGTGTCGGTGCCGGGGCTCGGGCCGCTGGCGTTGGGCGACAGGGTGAAGTTGTCGGGCAGCAGCGAGGACGCGGCGACGAGCAGGGTGGTGTTGTCGAGGCTGTCCATGGCGCTGTCGCCGAGGCTGCTGCTCACCAGCTCCGCCGCGCCGCCTCCCTCAGTTCCCGCAGCGTCTGTCCGTCGACCGCAGCTGCTGGCTTCCCAGCCGCGGCCGCGCCGCTGACGTCCCCGCGGCGTCGGTGCGGCGGGCCGGTCCTTGCTCCCGTGCGGCCGCCCCGGTGGACCCTCAGCCCTCCAGGTCGCCGCCCGCGCAGCAGGCCCCGCCCCTCCTTCTAATCACCGCTAAGTGGTTCTGTTCCAGCACAGCCAAGGGCGGAACAAAGACCCTACAAAGCTCAAGACTCAAAAACCTGAACCTGGCTGCGCATCAGATTCTCAGATAGGCTCTGCATCTTTTTCTTTTTAATTTCTGGAAAAAACAAATGTTTTTCTAACTCATATAAAATCTGTACACGAAGTCCCTTTTGGTGCCTGGATTATTGTACATTTGTCTACTCATGTTGAACAGTGTCCTCCAACATTTATTATTTCTTTATGATGAGAACATTACAAATGTTTTCTCCTAGCTTCTTTACAGGTGGGGGGAGGATATTTCAGCGGTCACAGATTTAGTCACCCCGCTGATCATCAGCACACACTGGAACTCTGCCTCTTTGGTAATGAAATCTAGAGTGCCAGACCCATCAAATGGGCAAGGGTGGGGGATATATTTATGTGTGCACATGATGTCATATAGATAAACAGTTTAAATACCCCCACAGCCCTGTCTTCGTGTGAGCTACTCTCTAAACAGCACATCTATCTGGCTTGAATTTGCAGACAAAAATGTTAAGGCTTTCTATGTTCAGTCTTAAAAAGTAAAAATAATGGCCTTGATTTTTTTTGAGCCTGGTGCTGTGCAAGTGCATGTAGATCACTTGATTTGATTGGCAGGGCAAAGTCATGACATAAATACTGTATTTATAAATTCCATTATAGTGTGATAGTTTTTAATTGACACATAGCAGTTATACATATTTGTGGGATACAATGTGACTTTTGCATCGTACATATTAAGGATCAGCCCAGGGTCATTGGCACACATTTGTAATGTCTCTGTGTTAGGAACACTCAGAATCCCCTAGCTATTTTGAAATACTCAATTATTTGTTGTCAACCAGTTATCCGACTGTGTCATGCCTGACTTTTACAAAGGAGGAATCTGAGGTCTAAGGACATCTCAGCCTCCCCTACCCTAAGTGCTTGGTTGAGTTTCCACAGAGATCTGTCCTTAAAGAGCTCTGTGAGGAGTTAAGCTAAGAAAAGTCTGCATGAAAAATGTTATTTAAGAAGGTATTGGCAGGTGGGGGGAGGATATTTCAGCGGTCACAGATTTATGAAGTCTTGTAAATGAAGTCCCAGCATTGGGCTTAAAGGACTGAAAAGAAACGAAGTGCTGAGATTCCCAGCTTCAGACAGGCTAATCCCCAACAAATCAGATCAGAATTCATAGGAACCGAGACCCAGCAACTTCAGTCCAGTCACTCCAGGCATGTAAAGGAACATCTCTGCTCACTGAGGAGTGGTGTCTCTTAAGGAGGCACACATGTCCCTGGAGTGACCATAGTGATAACAGCCAGTTGAGTTGTATAAACCAACATGGGAATGTCTAGGCTAAAGTCAAGGCCCAGGCCTAGCCTGGGGTTACTTGTGAGCAAAGTCAAGACAGAGTGAATTCTTCACCCCAGGAAGTGGTCCCTGTCCCTTTGCCAGAGAGACTGGGTTACCTATATTTCCCAGTGATGCACTAGGCCCAGATGTTTGCATTTCCTCCTCTCCAGATCTCATGGAAATGGCAGAGAATGTAAACAATAACACGACACCATACTGTGAATTCAACCATATGTAATAGCTTCTCTTTTACATTGGACTTTTAAAAGATTTATTTTATGTACATGAGTGCCTTGCCAGCATGTATGTACATGTACCATGTGTGTGCAATGCCCACAGAGGCCAAAAGAGGGCATCAGATGCTCTGGAACCGGAATTACAGGTGGTTGTGCATTGATTGCCACAACTCAAGTCCTCTGCAAGAGCCTCAAGTGCTTTTGACTGCTGAGCCATCTCTTCAGCCCCTCCATTACATTATTAGTTCTATGAGGCTAGAGCTTTAGAAAACATTTAGGAAAACAATACACCCTTACTCTTTTCTAATATACTAAACTCAGAAAAGATGAATTTATATCTATCCGGCTGGGAAGGAAGTAGGCTGCAATAAGAACTATTCTAAATTTTCATTTAGGCCTATATAAGTAAAAGAAAGATCTTTAAGGAGATGTGTTGCTCAAAGGTTGAATACATCCAGAAGGTACCTTCTTAGCACACGTCAGGGGAGATCCTACTGAATCTTGCTATAATTGAGGTCTTGAATGTCCCTCGAGGCCCATGTGTTAAAAGCTCAGTCCCAGTTTAGCACTGTTGGGAGGTTGTGGGACCTCTAAGAGTTAGGACCTACTGAAGTTTTTTTTTTTTTTTTTTTTTCCTTTCTTTTGGTCTTTTTGAGACACAGTCTCCCTGTAGCTCCAGCTGGCCTGGAACTCACTCTGTAAACCAGACTGGCCTTGAACTCACAGAGTCAGCCTGCCTCTGCCTCCCTAGTGCTGGGATTAAAGGCATGCACCACCACACCCCACCTACTGGAAGTTTTTTAGGTCACTGAGGGAATGGCCTCAAAAGTGTGGGCACGCGGGGATCTCGGAGCCCAGCTGCTGGCGTGGTGCCAGTCTCTCGGGCACCGCTGGGGTGCGCGGCTTTCGCGCGCCAGATTGCTGAGACGGGTCCCTGGCTCTCCACGGCTACCGGATGCTGGCGACTCTGTGGGTCGCTGTCAGCTGCCAGGCGAGTTCTGTTCCAAGCTGCCGGACACTCCCTCTGTGTACGGGATCCGGATCTGTGTCGGCCACCGGATCACGAGGGGAGGTGCAGAAACAGTGAAAGCAAGATCTTCACGAGTGGTTGCTGACGGAAGGACAGCCCCCTCAGGGGAGACTGAATCACAGGCAGTAAGACACAGGATACAGCTCAGTCAGACTCAGTGATACAGCTCCAGATCTTAGTGATTCAGCTCCGATTTATTAGGGGGAAAACCAGAAGATTTATAGTGTGGAGGCAGTAGCAAAAGCTTCAGCTGATAGGTGCTCCTGGGATGCCCCATTTACATGTGGTGGTGGGCTTCTATCAGGCTGTCAGACAGTGCCTGATTATCACACAGGAAAAACCTGGCAGTTTCTGTGCCAGAGGTCATGTATCTGTGATGGCCACTTCAAAGGTGAGTCAGGAAGGAGAACAGAAGGCACCCGCTGAGAAGAGGAGTCCTTCCATTTGCGCCGAGCCGGCTTGCGGCTATCCGGACATGGAGAGACTGCAACCCTAAAACAGCAGGGGTCCCCAACACAAAAGAAATTGTGGTGCCAGGCATGATGGCACACACCTTTAATCCCAGTACTCAGGAGGCAGAGGTAGGTGGGTCTCTGTGAGCTCCAGTCCAGCCAGAGCTACACAGTAAGACCTTGTCTCAAATAACTAGCTAACTAGCTAACTACAGAAAGAAAGAAAGAAAGAAAGAAAGAAAGAAAGAAAGAAAGAAAGAAAGAAAGAAAGAAAGAAAGAAAGAGAAAGGAAGAAAGAAAAAGGGGGATTGTGGGTTGCCAGCCCCCTGCTTACTCTCCTTTTATTTCTGACCATGAGGAGAACAGTTTGACTCTACCTTGTGCCCTACCATAATGGGCTGCCTTACCACATGTTCAAAAGCAACATGACATAACCAATCATGGACTGAAACCACCAAAATCGTGAGCCAGACAAATTCTCTCTTTTTTTTCTTTAGAATTAAAATATTTTTATTCAAATTATATATTTTTTTTAATAATTTATTGAGAACTTCACACATGCATATAAGGTGTTTTGATCAAATCCATGCCCACTCCCTGCAGCTCCCATATCTCCTCATCACTTTTTTCTGATAACTTCATATACTCTTATTATTTTTTATGGGATTTTTGGCTACTCTAACATTCCCCCCTCTGGAGAGGTAACTCTAAAATCTTCTAATGATTAGATAAAAGCTCCCAAATACTTTTGACATTTTTGGCCTTTAGAATGGAGTATGTTGCTAAGAGGCCCAAGGACCTTTTAGCTCTGAAGGGGTTACCCAAATAGCTGATAGGGAATTGGGACACAGACTGCTCTGCTTCTTCCATGCTGAACAGGGACACAGGGTGAGGCAATGAGAGTACCCCTTCAGTGGGTCTATCTAAAAGACTCCCAAATTGCATTACTCTTATCTTGAGGAGGAAAAGAAAGTCTTTGGTGAATAGGAGAAGTAAAGGCAAGAGTAATTAGCGTTACAAGTTCGAGACAGGGAACTAGAAAAAAGTCAGAACAGGGTAATTTTCAAATGTTCATATGAGAGTCCATTGGAATATTCTTGACAAGGGCTTCCAAAAGCATCCCTCTATTGGGTTCCTCCTCATTTTTCTTTTGTCTTCCAAGGCTGGACTCCAGAGTAATGGGTTCAGGATTTGCTTTCAGGTACTTTGATAGCTGTTGGAGGAGTGGTTAGAATCAGTGTCAGTCTCCTCTTAAAGCCTTCTAGATAGGGGGAGAAAATTTTATCCATCATTTTAGAAAAGCGGGTTGTCTCCCTTAGGCACAGGTGAGCACTACAGTATTGCAGACCAAGATTTGAAGTCTTACATTTGAGCAGTACTTTTTGATTAGGAACAAAATCATCAATGAAAAATAATTGTCTAAATAACTTTTTATATGGACTTAACCCTAATATCTAGGAAGTGTAATCCTTTGATTTCTTAAAGAAATATACTGATGACTTTACTCTTTGGTTATACTTTCCTTTTGGGTGTTTAAGACCTATAAAGTTGGTCCAAATAAATCAATTTATTTTTACATTTAAGGTCATTTAGGGATCTGTTCCTCAGGGGTCACGTGGGCTTGGGAGGAACTCCTGGTTCCTCTCTTTTACCAGTTCCATCTAAGAGAAGATAAGTCAAAGGTCCGACTCGACTATGTCTGGCTTTACTTGGAAGCATGAATGAGATGTTTCCTCTGAGTTGACCCTCCTCTTTGTAGACTGGACACTGGTCCAAGTCCATCTGGTGGGGTCTCCATGGCCTCCCTGAACAAGAAGACAGATGACTTACCACAGTTACAGTACATTTTGAGAGATGTTCCATAGTCCCCTGGAACTTAGTTGACCTTGGAGAGTAAGGAGCAAAAAC